AGTTTAAGAAAACCTGATCTCGGTTTCCTGTCACAGCTTCCATCGCCATCACCGGGAGCTCCCCTTCTGTAAGAAGTCAATGCCATCCCCACGACGTGCTACCAAGCCGAGAGAGAAGAGACACGCATTGAGTCTTGTGCAAGGTATCGAGGTCTAACAGTTTTTGCGGCTGCGCATTAATAGTCTCATCTCGAAAACCCAAGACTTAATCGATCCCGACCATCATTGAAAACCGCCGATCTTTACAAACACATCAGCAATACCATGGCCAAAACAGTTAGATTGGGGAACCGGTTGCGGTACCCCATCACAATCGTCAAACTACACAAGTCGCCCGGCGACGCCGTCCAGAAGCAAGAACCTCTCTTTCAATACTCATTCAAGTGGATGAAGGAGGTTGGCGACAGCATTCGCGGCGAGACATGGGAGATGGAGCAAACATCTTCTGTGCATTGGAACTCGCCCTCCGATGGCAAACTCAAACAGTGGCAGATCAGAGAGGGTCAAGTCATCAGCCAGGATGGGCCGTGCTTGGTCATTGAGGAGGAGTGTTCTCACGAGATTCAGTTTCAGGGCCTTTGCGCCATGTGCGGAAAGGACATGACCGAAACCAGCTGGGCACAAGAGTCTCGCGATACCGAACGCGCCCCGATCCGCATGGTGCACGATCAGACCCAATTGACGGTCAGCGAGATGCACGCACAAAAGACGGAGCGGGAATTGCAAAGCAGGTTACTGGACAGCCGGAGGCTCAGCCTGGTTGTGGATCTGGATCAGACCGTCATCCAGGCTTGTATCGACCCAACCGTTGGGAAATGGATGGAAGATCCGACGAACCCCAATTACGATTCCGTCAAGACTGTCAAAACCTTCCAACTCAACGACGACCCGCCCAAGGACCGGATATGGTACTACATAAAAATGCGGCCCGGCCTTGAGGATTTCCTAAAGAGGATTTCGGCCATGTACGAAATGCACGTCTACACCATGGGAACGCGTAACTACGCGCAGGGCGTAGCAAACGCAGTTGATCCTGACAAAAAGTACTTTGGCAACCGCATCATCAGTCGGGACGAAAATGGCAACCTCTACGCCAAGAGTCTTCAGCGACTCTTCCCTGTCAGCACAAACATGGTGGTGATCATTGACGACCGGTCCGACGTTTGGCCGCGTAACAGGCCGAATCTCATCAAGGTCACGCCCTTCGATTTTTTCAAGGGTATCGGAGATATCAACTCGAGCTTCCTTCCAAAGAGACAAGATATCCTCAAATCGGCCAAGACGAACGGAGTTAAGAAGCCACCCGTCAAGGTTAAAGGAGACGAGGAAGTGACCAAGGAGCAGATCGAGGAGCAGAAGCAGATATTGGAACAGCAGGTCAAGGAAAGGCCGCTTCAGGCGCTTCAGGACAAGGTCGATAAGGAAGACGAGGAGGCTGACAAGGTAACTGTTCAGTCTGAGGATGGTTCCGAGTCCCGATCATCGTCGCCACTGCCGCAACGGCATAAGGTGTTGTTTGATGATGATCATGAGCTCGTTTATCTTGAAGCGCATCTTACCAGGCTTCACAAGACTTTTTTTGAAGAGTATGATGCCAGTGCCCAGCAGGAGCCAGATTCTGAAGTTCCAGATGTTGGAGCTCTTCTGGATAATCTCAAGTCCCAGGTGCTTGCAGGGTACAAAATTGTGCTGTCCGGTGTCCTCCCATCAGGATACGACATTTATCGCTCAGAAATCGGTTTACAGATAATGAGCTTCGGCGCGGAACTCTTACCCGCAATAACTAAGGACGTAACCCACCTCGTCGTCAACACTGCTCAGCCCGGTACGGATAAGCTCATGGCCGCTCGAAGAAATAAGAATATTAAGGTTGTTGGGTTGGAGTGGCTGGCCGAATGCTTCACGCAGTGGCAAGCTGTGGATGAGACTGAGTACCTGTACCAGGGGAGGCATCATGGACAGGTGGCAAAACGGAGTCCTACTCCTAAAGCACAGGGCCCCGACGCAGATGACGAGTTGCTGAGTGAGGAGGAAGGAGGAGGAGAAGGAAAAACGATGCCGAATGGGAAGCCCAAGGGACTCAAACTCAACTTTGTTAATACCACTGCTGAGGACGTGGAAGGCGAAGAGGAAGGGTTGAGTGATGACGAACAGGCGTTGTTACCGGATGATTTGGAGGACGGGCAGATGTCTCCTATTGATGGCTTGAAAACCTTTAACTGGGGTTCGGCTGATGAGGAGTTGAACGAGTTCTTGGCTTCTGGGACGTCCGATGATGACGGGGTGGAAGATGAGGATGAAGATATGGATGATGATGAGGAGGAGGAGGACAAGGACGAGGACAGAGAGGGAGAGGATGGGGATAAGGAGGTTGTCCAAGAGCGGGATCCACGCGTTGTGCTTAGGCTTCCTGATGACCCGGATGACACGGATACTGAGTATAGACTGCCGCCCGAGCTTAAGCCCCAGCCCACGCCCAAGAAGAGGAAACATGCTGAGCAGGATGCTGAGGAGGTAGCAACGGGGACGGATTCGGAAGCGAATAATACTACGGGGGACGAAGGGAGTGGTTCCGGTAAGGCGAAGAAGAGGTTGAGGAGGACTAAGAGTCAACGGGCCTCGTCGTTGAGGAATCAGTATGAACAGCAGCAGCAGGGTGGTGGTGATTCAAGTGCTGCTGCTGCTGATGCTGCTGGAGATAATAGTAGTCTGCCGACGCCTGTGGTTACCGGGGATGAACAGGATGAGCAGGATCAGAGGGTTGTGATGGCTAAACAACAACAACAACAACAACAACAACAACAACAACAACAACAACAACAACAACAACAACAACAACCACAACAGCAACAACAACAACAACCTGAAGGTGGTAATGATGAGGAGGAATATGAGTTTGATGAGGCGGAGCTGGAAGCTGAGTTTGAGGCTGAGTTTGCTGCTGCTGAGCAGGAGGAGGCTGCGGCTGTAGCGGCGGCATCAGCGTCGGCGGAGATATCAGCTGGAAGTGGTGGTGGTGAAGAGAAGGGTTAGAGATTGAGACTTCTAAGCCATTACCATTTCGGTCAAACGGCCGCAACTTGGAGTGTTCATCGATGATTGGATTGGGGAATTTTTTTTTAATTCTTCAATTCTTTTTCTTAATCTTTTTTACGATTAAGCGGGTTTTGGTGTTCCAGGTGGTGTTTATACTTCATTCTGGGAGGGAGGGATGGATCGGGATGGATCGGGGAGTTGGATTTTGCCGCGTTCATGTGTATGTATTTATTTAGCCCGTAGCTGGGTATTTTTCAGGCATAAAGTTTTTAAACCCACCTGAGTCTTGTCCTTGTTGTGTTCGATGTCTCGTGGTGAGGACGAGGGAGGGCGTGTGTGATGAGATGATTAGGGGTACGTTTAGCAAGCGGGGTGTTATGTAATCCACACCACCTTGCTCAAGGCCCCGGTCCCGCCAGACTGCCAAGGCGAGCAAGCAACGTCAATTCGAGCTCAGAGCTTCCGGACCACTCTCTTGCCCATTCTCAGCCTCCCCCCCCCCCCCCCCCGGGCAAACAACATTCCCTCCTGACGACCCTCGATTGCGCGATTGCAGAGCCAATTGCGCTCTTTTTCTTTTCTCTCCTACAACAACAAACGCAGGTGCGACATTCTCCAGCGATTAAATGCCGATCCTTTAACGAGGAGGAACAGAGGGACTAATTGATGTCGTAGAGCGAGGAGAAATCACATACACACAGCCAAGATGCCGCAGGATATGCCGCCGACTGGCGGCTATGACGCCGTTCAGTATAAGGTATGTGGGAATTTGTTATGTTGGTGGGAGGAGGAGGAGGAGGACGATTGGGCGTGGGCGTGGGATGGTTGTGTGGAGATTGGTGGACGAGAACGGGACGACATGACAGCAACGATGGCGACGAGGGCAACGAGGGCGACGAGGGCGACGAGGGCGACGACGACATGAAAATTGATGCGGAGGAATAAGCGACTAGAATGCTGGAGTTTGTCGAGGCTTTTGGGGTTTCGCGATCTTGGCTTGGAGGGACGTTGCAAAGCATTGAGGACAAAACAGCAAGAGGAGGGCGAAGCTTGGTCTGCAGAAGAGAAGGGACACACGCTACATAGCATCATGCGCTGCCCGGTTCAAAGGGGGCGCTGAAATTGGTTCTTCAGCTGGGCACACGGAAAGAGAAGGGATCTACGACCGCAAAGCAGGCGACCATTCAACCCCCGACACCCATTAAAGAAAAGGACTACGAGAACACGGGACGAGCTTGGAACATTGAGAACAGAACTTTGGCTAACACCCCCCCTTTCTTCCAGCGCAACCTCCCCTCCCGCGGTCTCTTCCGCCCCGGGCCACTCATGGCCGCAGGCGGCGTACTCATGCTTTACGGATGGTACAAGCTCGTAGTCGGCATCAGGGAACAAAAGTATGCTGCCTCTCCCCCCACCCCTTTCCTTCCTCATATACTAACACCCCCGAAAAGTGAGATGGCCCGCGAGAAGATGTGGTCCCGCATCCACCTCATCCCCCTCCTCCAAGCCGAGGAGGACCGCGATCTCGTCCGCAGACACCTTGCCGACCAGGCCCGCGAGAAGGAGCTGTTGGGCAAGAACTTTAAGGTTTACAACTCTGACAGGTATGTTTTATACTTGCTCTTTTATCCTGCTGTTGTTTAGGATCTGGCTGACGGATTGTGAAATAAAAGATATGTCCGACCTACCTTTACTGCTCTCCCGGGGCATGTTACCAAATAAGTGGGGAGGTAGTGGAAGTATGGATGGGTTGAAGGGGAATGAATGTATACAGCCAAGAAAGCTCAAGAATGAGAAAAAAGGTTTTCAGGGCAGAAAATAGAAAGAAAAAGAAGAGAGTTCGAGTCAGTCCGTTATTGTTGGGTCCACAAAACGTTGCCTTTTTCTTAAACCCCTCTCCCCTGTCCAGTCTTGCAACAAACAAACAAACAAACAAACAGACAAACAAGCACAGAATCTAGCCTGCCCGGCTAGCTCAATCGGTAGAGCGTGAGACTCTTAAGGAGTACTCCGAATAATAATATCTCAAGGTTGTGGGTTCGACCCCCACGTCGGGCTCAATTCCCGATCAACGATGGTGATCAAGAGTCTTTTTGACTTTTTTTTTTTTTTTTTTTTTTTTTTTTTTTTCCCTTGGGGTGCTTGTGTGTGGGAAGTATGTGATGTGGGTCCACTGTTGGATCTTACAACAATTCTTTTTTTATTCTTTTTTCGTCACCAATACACCAACGATCTTGAAGAGGAAGTAGGGAGAACATGGGGCGGCAGGAGGCGAGAACCTGGAAGTGCAATCAACGTAGCGGCAAAAATTCTTGCTCAGGGCATTGCTTTGAAACATGAACCTTGAAAAGTATATTGTTCATAATAACTGGTCGTTTTCCAAACAGCCAACCCAACAAGAAAGAAAACAAAACAACTTCCAAACAAGCGAGAGAGCCAGCGCCAGACGCCTCGCCATGCAACATGTTTATATGCCTCCTTCCCAGAATCTCTCAACTTTTTGCCTTCAAGCAGAAGCCTTGACCAGCTTGAACCCCTCCGACACCAACTTGGTAATATCCTCATTCTTATGCTGCAGCAAACCCAAAGCAAACGCGACGTCATTCCACTGTCTCTCCGTATCGCATCTCGGTAACCTAGCCGCAAGCTTATCGGCGAGTTGTTTGGCATGTTTATCCTATTCGTCACGGTCAGCATCGATACTCCCGCCATTCCTCGGTCTCCAAAACAAACCTTCTCAACAAACCCAAGCAAGAACCTCACAATCCTCTTAAAGCTCTCCTCGTCAATCCTCACATCCGTCGTCAACAAACTAAACATGTCAACAAAGTGATTATACACCGCATTATCCTTGGTGCTAAGTTCAGTAAAGAACATTCTTGCCAGGTCCGCAATCCTCTTATCCTCATCCTCGAGACACTTGGCCATCTCACCCAGCTGACCCTTGACTTTCACCTGACCAGCCAAGATCAAGAAAGTCAACGTCATGAGACACGTCCTCTTTACAGACGGATCAGGATCCGCAAGACGGCGGTACAAGAAGTCGGTGTTCTCGTCAATGAGGTGGTTGAAGCACACTGCCATATCTCCCAAAGCAATCACGGCGTTGCTGCGAACCGTGGCATCTCCTGAGCGCTCCATGATGGTGATGAGGAGGGGCAGGTTGGCCTCGCAGTACTCTGAAGAGACGCACATCAACTTGGCAAGGCACAAGGTAGCGGCCTGTTGCAGACCGCGGTCCTTGTACGTCGTATTGTTGGCGCAGATTTCTGAGACCATGGGACCAAAAATGGCAAGGATGGAAGAGGGACCGTAGAGCAACTCCCGCTCACGAATGTGCGCCATGGCTTCGGTGAAGTCATCTTCGGTCGTACCACCGATGAGGTCAAGCTCATCTGCATCTTCGTCCTCCTTGGCAGGCTCAGCGGCCGCGCCCTTGCCTTTGCGGCCCGATGTCTTGGCAGCCGACTGTGCGGATGCTTCCTTGGCTGCAGCAACAGACTTCTCCTTTTCTTGCTTGCGTCTCTTAAAGTCGAGTTCGCAGAGCTCGAGGTGAACGATTTGCTTGATCGCGACATGACCGACGATGAAAAGGAGCTGCGAAAGGGCGACAGTGTTGTCCTTGTTCTGCTTTTTGGCCGGGCTGGAAGGTGGCTCTTGTGTTGCTGGTGGAGGAATCACCGTTGGGTCAGCCCCTTCCTCTCCTTCGTTGCTGGCGGCAGGGCTTGCGACTGAGAGTGATTCATCTCGAGAGGCTGGGCGGGACGACGCGGGAGAAAAGACGGCCCTCGTCTTGCGGCGAATAATCTCCGAGCAGAGGACATCGGGATGTCTCGATAGAGCATAGATGGCGTTGATGGCCTGCTCAGCAACACCAAACCATTCCTTGCTGTCTGAGGGAACCTCGGTGATGGCAGCAAGCCTGGCCAACACCGCGTGGTCGTTGGACAATCTCGAGAACTTGATGGGAGAGTCCTTGGCCTGGCGACCGCTGGGGTTGATTCTGCGAAGAGCGACACAGGTGAACTTGGCAAGCTGCAGATCAGCACGACCATGTGAACCAAGACCAGTACGCAACATCGTCTCCATCTCGCCAACCACAATCTCCGGGCTAGCAGTGGCGAGCATACCGAGAACGATGATGGCGCCTCTCCTCTGCTTCCTCGAGATCTCCCGCTTTTGCACACCATAGACTTGCCAAAGTTTGGCAACAACAATGTCGGGAATCATGCCCTGCTTCATCATGGTGCTAAGAAGCTGCTCCAGGGAAGTCAACTCAGCTGGGGTTGCGCCGAAGGTCAGCGAGATCATGTTTCGGGCAATGTAGTTGGCGGCATCGTTGGGGCTGAAGCTGTCGGGTGCCTCGAAGAACAAACGCTTGTAGCATTCGATGAGATGGGTCTGGACACCCTTGCCCTCGTCGCTGTTGCCCTTGGTCCAGATTAGTCTCAACATTCGGCGGATGCCGACCTTGTTCTGCTCAATGTTGTAGGCATCTCCAATCTCAAAGTAGTCCATTGCCTCAATCACCTCGCTCTTGTTCTTGGAGCCAAGAAGCTGGCAAACGGTACCGGTTGCCTCATGAAGCACATCGATGAACTTGAGTGCCTCGCTGTAGTATCTCTTGGTGAGAGTGAGCTTCTCGATGGCTTCGGACGTGGCAGCCTCCTCTTGGGCTTTCCGAACGGCCGCAATCTTTTCTTCGTCGGTCATTTCGGCAAGTGTCTTTTGGGGCTGATCCTCGCCTTGGCCTATGTCCATTTGAGTGGCATCGTCCAGCAGCTGGGTATCCACGGCGGTTTGGTCATTGCCATCGAGACCAGGCGCATCAACTGGAGGCTTCAGAGCATCCAGCTCCGCGTCGACCTTATCCAAGCGCTCCTGCCAATCTTTCCTTGCCAGCTGGGCTCCATGGAGAGCAGTGAAAGGGTGTGTTCGAATGAGGGTTCCAAGCAATTTGATCGCGTTCCTTCGTACATGACTGCTCTTGTCCTCGAGACTTCGGCAAGCAAGCTCGGCGGCCTTTTGCCTGCGCTTGGGGAACTTTTGCTCGAGGGCACAGATCTTGAGGTAGACCTGCATGGTTCTGCAGCGGCAATACGGGTTGATGTCGAGGAATCTCTCTTCAAGGACGTCAAAGAAGGCGTTCATCTGGGTCTTGTGATTTTCTCCTCTCTCGTCCGACTTGCTGAGGTGGGCAAGCATGTTGCCAAAGACTTCGATAAGAGCAGAACGGAGAGTGTGGGACTCGCTGTCCAACTGCTTAGCCAACAGAGTGACCTGCTTAATAACCAATCTGGGAGCCAGTTCGGAAAGCTTGACCATGAAAGTCGAAACTGATTTTGGGCCCTTGGTGTCGTTGCTGTTGAACTCCTTATTGCTAAGCTCTCTCAGAATTTCGTCAGACAGTTGTGGGTAGTCGTATTGTTCCGCCAGAATGTGGAGGAACTCGGCCATCGGTTCAGAAAGGTGCTCGAAATAGGTCAAGTTCTGAACGATGGAGATTTGGGCAGCTAAACTGGGTTAGAGATGAACCAGAGCAAATTCAAATTAAACTCACCGTAGGCATGGCCATGATGCTTAACCGCAACGCACAACACCTTGAATGCATGCATGCGGATGCTGGTATTCTTCACTCGCTGTTCGCTTTCGAGTACCATATACACCGGTCGCGTAAGTAACGAGATGAAGGTATCTCGCTCTGAGGTGGTGAGAAAAATCTTGCCCAGCTTCAAGCGCAAGACTTTGCACATGGTGTTGAGGGCTGTCTCGAGCTGAGTCGAGGAGTCCCATGCCGCATCGTTTCCAAGTCCTTTTTTGCCCTTTGGTTTGCCGCGGCCTCGCACTGAGACTGTTGTTGATGATTTCTCGGCGGCTTTGGTCTCCACCGCAGCGATCGTCCATTGCAAAAGGAAACCGTAAATCTCGAGAAGTTGCTTGTGGTGGGCGACCAGTTCCTGTTCGTCGGATTCGAGATCATGGTGAACCACGTCGGCCTCGGTGGCTAAACCGGAAGTGAGGAGATCGAAGATTTTGCTGAGCGCATGTGCCGAGAGGAAGGAGGTATACCTGGATTGTTTGAACAGCTCAGAAACAGGTTCTTTTATATGGTTATCTTGCCTAGGAAGAGGACACTCGCGACGGCGCACATGCCTCGCGGGAGTGGGTGATCCCGTCCCGACGAAAGAAGATGAAAAAGAAGAAGACGAGGGGAGGGAAGAAATGGGTGCACACTTTAGTAAAAACTGTAATGAGTCGAAGATATGGCTTCTTGTGATGGCATCGGGGTTCTCGGCGATGGCGTCAACGATCGGGTTGAGCACAGCATTAACGATAGCATTGTCTGTGAGGGACTCGGGCTCGTTCTCGCAGTCGACCAGCGCACTGTCGGCTTCTGGTGTTGGTATCGCCGCGGGGTCGCTCATGTAATGCTTGAGCGCATTGTTGATGTCGAAGCTGACGCTGTCCATGGTGGACAACGACTGGGGTTTGGGTATTTGTCGATTGTGCGGAGTTGTTATAATTCGTTTCGAGAGAAAACAAAACGATAAAAATGCCGTCAATGTCGCCGGTCACCTGCACCACTTCGGGTGTCAATTGTGGCTTGTCGCAAATTCCCAAAAATCCGGGGAAAGTCAAGAGCGGAAACAGTGTCGCAAATGCCCGAGCAAGCTGTTTGGGTCCCCTCTTTCTCGATTTGTCGATTTTGCGGTGGGGGAGCCCCTGGCAACTGCCCAATTGTTTGTTGACTTTGTGCGGGCCAGCCAGTCGCGTCCCACCTTTTCCATCGCGTTTAGGTCCGTGCACAGCCCCTCCACACCTGTCAAGGCCGTGTCTTGCACTTCAGCGCCTTTTCCAGAAGGTTTAGACCGCCAAATTAATGCAAGCTTGGGCGGGCCGCAGTCACTGTTGACAGCCAGCAACCGGTGCACTGGATTGGATTCCCAATTGGCCGACTTCAAAGCGTCTTCCAGGTTACACGTCGACGGCATTTCCAATTCCAGGCTCTCGGTTTTTTTTCTCTCGGTATCTTCTTTTGGACCTTTGGACAATTCTTG